AATTTTAAAGCTCATGAGCTGGGACTGCTTGCATGTGTTTGATTATAGGCACATGAGAGACTAATTTTTTGTTAATTTAGTTTAGCAATGTATTAACTCAAAATTAATACAGGGTATCCAAGGATTTATATGCCCCTGCTCTTGGTGGGATCATGCTGTCAATTGGAATCAAACTTTCGGTTGATGATTTTGCTCTTGCATTCAAAAGGTAATATTTTGTTCAGCATTGTGTATATATTCTTCTTACTGTCATTTATTTATCCTAATCTGTCAGTGAGGTTTTGAGTGTGCTTCCAATACTCTTTACTTCTCATCTGTTGCAGACCTTTACCACTCTCTGTTGGGTTTATCGCGCAGTATGTGCTGAAACCGCTACTTGGGGTACTAATTGCAAACGCATTTGGCGTGCCGAGGGTGTTCTACGCTGGCTTTGTTCTCACCGCTTGTGTTGCAGGGGCTCAGCTGTCTAGCTATGCTAGTTTCTTGAGCAAAGGAGATGTGGCCTTGAGCATTCTCCTCACCAGCACCACCACCATTGCTTCCGTGATCTTAACGCCTTTACTAACTGGCCTTTTAATCGGTTCTGTTGTTCCGGTTGATGCTGTTGCCATGTCAAAGTCAATATTGCAGGTAACTGGGAGTTTAGTGATACAGGTGATTTAGCTCTGCTTCTATTATTGATGCTTAATGTACATTTCATTGACATTGTTATTTTACATGTTAGGTGGTTCTTGTTCCGGTCACAATTGGTCTTGTGCTCAATACTTACGCAAAACCAGTTGTCAATTTCCTTCAACCAGTGATGCCAGTTGTTGCTATGATTTGCACTTCATTGTGCATTGGTAGTCCTCTTGCAATTAACCGGAGTCAAATTCTATCTGTAGAGGGTTTCCGGTTGATATTTCCAGTCATAGCATTTCACGCTGTGGCCTTTACACTTGGATACTGGGTATCCAAAACTCCAGGTTTGAGGTAAATGTTCCTTTGTCATAGAATGTTAAAGTTCATGCTTGGAAGTCATGTCTTGTCCACTGTGAGGAAGAACTGTGAGCCGTCGGTATAATATGAGAATTAGCAACCTTTGTTGCCGTTGCCCTTGTTTTTCACTTTGATTCTTCATGTTTCAGTGGATCTTCCATAGGTGTTTATCTTTCACCCTTGATGATCTTGCTAATAACTTACATGTTTGATCGTTGCATCCCCGGTCTCAAATAGCAAGTATCTATGAAAACTTGTCTGTTGATAGTTTCTAGGAGAGTCATTAAGCTCACTTGGTTCTAAGAAATTTTAAAGCCGAAGTCAGGAGCATTTTTATATCCTCATGTTCCCGTATATATAATGTTATTGTTGTCACCACAGGCAAGAAGAAGAAGTTAGTAGGACACTTTCCTTGTGCACAGGAATGCAGAGTTCCACTTTGGCAGGGCTCCTTGCAAGCCAGTTCCTTGGGAGCAGCCAGGCCGTTCCTCCAGCATGTTCAGTTGTTGCCATGGCCATCATGGGCCTGTTTCTTGCATCTTTCTGGGGCACCGGCTCTCGAATCAGAGACCTGCTGTCCCTACTAACGCCTCAAACAGGTTCTCCAATGAAGGCGTAGCAATGAAAACAACAATCAGGGAACTCACGGGGCATATATAATGCTAATTTAGTACACACTGATGGTCGGGGTTACTAACGCAGAACATTACAAGGACGGTACAATAAAAGAGATGATCCCGACGGTCATGTTGAACCACCTTAACTGGTTTGGAAAGCAACTACTGCATACAGGGAGGATTGGGAATCGAAAATAGACGGCAAGAAAACATACTTTAGGCTAGAATTGTAAAGTTGTAAAGCTTTTTATACTATCATGTGTATATTCATGTTGTTACTTTGTAAGTAATGATAAAGGTATACAAATGTCATCCTCTCTCTCTCTCTCTGAAGCTCATCGGGATTTTCAAAGGCTTTGGCTAATAAGCCCATCAGTCCCAACATAGATAAGACCTTTTTATGGGCTGACTACGGAATGATGCTTGTTAGTATTGATCTTGTGCATGGTAAGAGTTTGCTGTTTGCAACACTCTCGAGTCACGGACTATTCCTTATAAAATTGACAAAAACCAGTAAAGGCCTCTTTCTCAATCTAACGGCAAAGCAATCCTTTCGGTTTTTAACATAAAACTCTAAGCTGGTCAATCTTTTGCTTACTTGGACGCTTAGCTGGTCTATCTTTTACTTACAAGAATGCTTAGTTGGTCTGTCTTTTGCTTACAAGGATGCTTAGCTCGTCTGTCGCTAGTTCGATGACACATTGATTAACAAATGCCATTGGGACAGCAAATAAGACCTTTTTCCTTTGTTTATATATACAACTAACTTAACCTTCTAGATATAGAGAAACAAAACATAGCGGAAGTGACATCAATCCGGCATCCATGAAAACAAAAAACTTAACCTTCTAGATATATATTTGCTCACTTAATAATTAGTAGCAAACTATCTGTTTATCTGAGTGACGGAGTAGCGAGGGCCGGAAGCAGGGGCTGTTGGAAATTATATATTGTAATATATAATTTTAATAATTGAATGAAAAATATTGTTAACCAATTTCTTGGAAATGTTATATTGTTTAGGTGTATTCCTTGATAAGTGATGTATACTTATAGATGAAAAGTTACATCTCTTTAATAAGTAGAAATTGGATTCTATTTAAACCCATGAAACCATTGGTATTAAAGATAGAAAATTAGAGTTAATTTTACTCTTGAGAAATAGGGTTTCCCCACTTTGTTTCTCTCATGTTTTGTGAGTCAAATTCCGAGTCGTGTCTTGAGAGTACGGAATATATAAAGTTCGTCAGAGTTCAAAGATTGAAGTGCTTTGACTTCGGATTATAGATTGTTGAATCCTGGGAGATGGACGCCTACCGAACTACAAGCACAAGAGTAGGGGCGAAATTCTATCTTTAGCACATTGCATTTATGCAAGCCTCAATCTCCAAGTTTGTCAGTTATTCTAACTTTTTCTCTAGTTGTTTATATTAATCTCATATATAATTGATGTCGTGAATTTCTTTATGATTATTATCATTGGAATTATATTGTTATTTTTCATATTTTCTAATATTGCTCCAACAGGGGCTTCATGCATATGTTTAACGTTTTTATAATCTTGTGCGCCTGATGTTATGAACTGTGCAGAAGTTCGAGAACCATGTGGAATGGGGGATTGATTTGGCATATGAGCATGAAAGGTATGTTGTCTATGCAGTAGTCCAATATCATCAATTTTTTCTTTGCTGGTTTTGTATTTTTATGATACTGATTAAAGTGAGTTCAATGATTTTTCCTTTTCTTTCGTGCAGATACTTGACCGGGGAGAAATTTAAGCAGCCGGTTATTGTTTACAACTATCCGAAAAAGACCAAAGCCTTCTATAGCCTCAATGAAGACGGTGAGACAGTGTTTGCTATGGATGTCGTCGTCCCAAAAGTAAGGCATTTTCCTCTGAAAGGTTTTTCCTTTTATTTTAATGCGTTCTATTCTGTACACGTACATTGGCATCGTGCATCTTTTCAGCACGTAAAAATGTTTGTGTTTTTCATGTTTTCAGGTTGGATAGTTGATCGGTGGAAGCCCAAGGGAAGAGCGTTACGGTGTTCTAAAGGAAAGGTATGACAACGTACGAGTACTACGTACATATGCATTTTCATCTTGTCTTTATTTATTAGTGACATGATCGATTATCTGCAAATTCTTGTGGGATTGTAGGATTCTGGAGATGGGACGGCACGTTGAGGATTATCAATCGTACCTGGACTTGCGGCGCTTTGGGACTATTAAGCATAGCGGCTTTGATTTAGGGTTTGAACGGATGGTTATGCTTGCCACTGGGCTTGACAACATTAGAGATTGCATTTCCTACCCTAGAGATCGAGGAAGAGAAGATCCTTAAATTATAGGCGGTTGATGTATATAACTAGGGATGCATTCGAATAAGTCCTGTTTGACATATTATTCAGAGAAACATATATAGAACAAAGGATTTGTGTTTGCTTCGTGAAGCATCTATACTTGCTGTGAAATTTCACTTGTAGCATTGTGTTTGCTTAGAATGCTAAGATTAAATTTGCGCTTTCATTTTTCATTCATTTCTTGCTATATATGGACAAAGGAGGAGTGAAGTCTTCAGTGGTGTCTATAGATTATATTCTTGTGGCCTTTGGTTTTTCTCAAATGAAATTGGTTAACCTGCATAGGCTTTAAACTACTGGATCTGCAAGCTTTGGTTGCTAGTTCTTGACCTTTGCAAAAGAAACTAGAGCCATTATAAAATAAAAATAAAAATAATTCTCATATTATATATATTTTCGTAGAACTGCACCAAGGAAGTAACTGAAAAACCAAATATTTTCATGATCTTGTTTGTAGGTAATATTTTTTAAATTTATCCTTGTTAGTTGTCGACTTGCCTCTCGATGTTTTCTGGTTTGCTGAAATTATTAAAGTTATGGCATGCCAATTTGTGATTCTACATTCAAAGAATTAGCTTTATCTTCAAGGGCAACCAATCCAAGATTGAGGAGAAAAAGAACATATGTGGGTAATATATATGTAATGTACTAAAGCGGAGCCTCATATATATATATCTCTGTCTGTTACTTAATAAAACAAGTGGATAAAGCTTTCCTAAATTAGATGGAGAAATATGAGTCTCCGTTTCTCCCTCTCTCTCTCTCTCTCTCTCTCTCTCTCTCTCTCTCCTCACGAGAGAGACACTACACACATGCACACAACAAATATACACCTCTTTAAAGATTTGACGCTATATGGATGCATTACAATTTTATTCTTCATTTTACTTTGCTTCTATGCAATTTAATTAATATTTATTTTTCAGGCCATATATTGTCGCCTATTTTATGTGTGTGATTAAAACTGTATATATATATATATATATATATATATATATATATTATAAATCAATCCAAAATTATTATATATATATATATTATATACATCAATCCAAAATTATTATATATATATATTATATAAATCAATCCAAAATTATTAACAACATATGATATATAGCTGATCAAACAGCAGAACAGATATCTGCAATCTTTTCCATCACCTTTACCTGAGTCTTGAGACACTTTATGTAATGCGCAGCCTCATCCAACAAGCTGCAAATATCCATGGCTTCCCCACCTGGTACGAACTTCCGAAGCTCGTCCGCCTCACAAATAGTACCGATCTCTTCCTCATCATCACACTTCTTCATCTTCATCCTCTTCTTACTATTGTCAGTTCTTCTGGCTGAACAATTATAAATCTGCGAACCCTTGTGGCTTCGATTAATCTTCGTAAGCAAAGTGCTACTCCAAGCTCTTCTAGTCCCAACTGCTGAGGCCATGGCAGCATCAGCAGCATTCTTAACACTCAAATATCTTCTACACATCTCCATAGGAGAAGGTATATTTGTTGATGATGATATAGATCTTTGCCTATTAATTCTCTGCAAGGCTTGAAGAAAACCTTTTGTGAACCTAGATTCAAAAGTGGTATATTTAGACCTCAAAGACAAGCGCTTCGGATTCATGGTGTGGAATAGGGTTTTGCTCTTAGGGATGGACCAAAGGACTACTAAAAGATGGAAAATATATAAATTTTATTCTGACACAGGGTCCTCTTGTTCCCAATGCTCACAACTCACAAGGACAAAAGGAGAATCAAATTCTGACACAAATGTTTACTTTTCACCTATCATTATTAATTTTTTTAAATTCATGTTATTTAAAAGTCGAAAATTAAAAATAATGTATAAAAAATAAAAATAAATCTGTGAATAGTACTACTTTTTTTATTATATGATACAATCGATATTTGGAAGGAAGTTTTAAATTTGAAACTTCAAATATAAAAAATAATGTTCATAATCAGTTGAACTACATACTGTTTAGAAGAATCAAATTCTTTAAGACACTACAATAATGCATTAATTATTCTTTGGGGCTTCTTCTAGCTAGCAGTTGGGGTTTTTGTTTTTTGGTAAACAGTAGCAGGCGGTGAAAAGTGAGTTTTGTGGGGTTGCTATAAGGGGCCAACCACCATATGAGAGCACATGGTTGCAATACCCACTTAGATTAATTGTGGGGCCTTAATTTCTCATTTCCTCTCTTTGTTCTTTTTATATGAATCTTTCCTAGTGAATCGTTGTGTAAATACTTACGACAACTTTGCAATATTTTAAATTTGTATTTTCTGGTCACTAGTGACCAAATGGTGAAGGCAGAGGCTGGGGATGGGGTGACGATCATGCCATGTTCTAGTAAACAAGATCAAACTACGTCCTGTCATCAGGAAAACTGTTATGAGTTCAAATTCCTTACTGATGTTTATGTTAGTTTTTATGCTTTGAAGTGTTTTAAAATATTCACTCTTATACTTGGAAGTCTAATATGCGATATTACCATATCTCAATATGCAGTGTTATAGAGTTCAAATTCTCAATTGGTATATATATTTAGTTTTTATTTTGAGTTTCCATGATCTTTTGACTCAAAATGCTGAATCTAAAACATTTAACTACTTCCAACATACAAGTTAAACATATCATACTAAGAGCTTGTAGCCAAGTATTTACAAAATATTCACGTACCCTAAGCATGTAAAATCGAATATGCGATATTTTTCTCTCTCAATGTACTAGTATATATTGTACAAAGAAGAAGAAAGACATTTTCATTTTTCATTGGTATAAAGGCAGGGTGGTGTGTTGAAGGATCACATGGCTCCAAAAGTTCTCCAAACCCCCAAATGCGCATGTTTATGGCTCCAATAAGGATCAGTTGCAGGAAAAAAATTAAATAAGTCTTGCACGAATGTAGGAAAATTACAGCATGAATCTTATAAGATCGTTATGTAAGTAAGAAGGTTACCGTTGCACAATAAAAACTACTGACAGTGCATACCACTTCAACCCCAGCATGCATCGATCTTTCTATTACATAATCTTGGAGAATGAAGAAAATATATGTAGTTTTTAGTTCCCCTTGAAAGTGATGTTAATACCTTGATAGGGCAATTTTTTTTTTCAACGGATAATTTTAAATTACTTCTCTTCAAACTGAGAGATATGCATGCATGCCAAAACGCACGCTTGATTGGAGGTCTTCAACCAAAAGAATCCACTACTGCACTTAATCAGTAGCAAAATAAGAACATGGGTGGGCCCATTTTTTCCTATACTTAATCTTCACCAAAGTTCTAGAATTAGACTATTTAACTAACTCATAATTAGGCTTGCTATTTTCAAAGTAAGTTGGATCAGCATGTGCCTACCTCTAAATTAATTAATTAATAGAATTGTCTGGACCACTAATATGCAGGCTGACTCAGTGTTTGGTGTGTGCATCCTCATTAAGCTCTAAATTAATTAATTAACTAGAATTGTTTGGACCACTGGCTGACTCAGTATTTGGTGTGTGCATCCTCGTCATACGATTTTATTTTATTTTTATATATGTTTCACTTGTGTGTGTGTGTGTGTGTAATGACTTTTTACTTTCTCTGCAGACATGCAACAACAGAAGAAAATGCATTAGGTTGACATACTGCATAGATTAGTTTTGCATGGATATATATATACGGTACAAGATTTCGATTTTATTTTTGTACTTTGTGCTGGTCCTGCTGGGCGCTAGGGAATATAAATAAGTAAATAATTTAGAAATCCGAACAATGTTTAGTGAAGCCCAACTTCGTATCTGATCGTGTTTTAAACCTGCACTGCAGGTTTGATATTTCGAAATCCGAAAACTCTTTAGAAAGTCTTGAAGGAAATCTAGTTGGTAGAGTAAACCTGCTTAAAGGAATGTTCATGTAATGAATGAACCTCTTTATTTGGTTATATAAAACCAAAAACTAGAACAATAAAAAGAGAAAGACAGAGAAAATGGCCATTTCAATTAACGGACCTCTTTTGCAGGTTACAAGTTCTAGAAAACCGGTTTTGCAAATTAGTTGATTTGTGGAGAACATGTATTTTAGGTTCTACATAACCAATTATTTGAAGAGTTAATAAACCTGACATGTAGCCATGGAGGAGAAATTAAATATAGTGAACCTGTTCTGCAGGTTTATATTCAATTATTTGGTGAACATGAAGGTTTATCCAGAACAATAACCGAAACCCTACAATATATTTTACATTTTGTCGATAATTGGTAGAGGTTGCTGATCTTAAAAAGCAATATCAAAGTCAAATGATTTAAACCGAAAACTGAAACAACAAAGACCAGGCGAAATACATAGATAGATATGATCCTCGAGGTAAAACATAAAAGATAGATGGTTGGATTATTAAAATACATTACGGAATGAATCCCAAAAAACGTGTGTCAAAATGTGTGTCCAAAACGTGTCCCTGAATCCTATATATTGCTTAGTAGCACCATCTGATACTTAAACCAATCCCTATCAACACAAATCAAACTCGAAATCTCAAGTACACAATGCATAATGTATTTCACACCAGAAAGTACCTCTAAACAAATAATCAAGTTAACCAAGTCTTCTAGGTCCGCTAAATACTGGCCTCCTGATCGAACACTTATTACATATGCGAGACCTCTAGGCTCTAGCTATAACCCCAAACAAAATGTCCTTAGTTACAAGGCAAGAAATTCTTAAATCTAAATGCATACATACAATTAAATCCAAGAAACAATTCCACATGTACATCCTAACTATTGCAAGCACACCTGCAGATTCGGTACGACATATTATCCCCATAGCCGACAATAATATGTAGCCAAATCCAACTGATGTACAATAATCACCAAAGCCTCCTCATCTTATCCGTACTAAACAAAACTTGAGTGTAATATTTCAAAATGGGAAAATTCTATTAAGCTCCAGTGAATCCTACACCACTGAGAATTGTAACCGTTATATTTTAATTATTGAATGCTTAACCAAGAATTTAACAACAAAAAGTCGCCGTATTTAGAATACTCTGGTACTACGTACTTTAAAATTTCTTCAAAACGTTATATTTCTAGTTTTCTACAACCCCATATATACTGGCCCGAGTATATTTTGTTAGGCTTGAACTGTACCCTACTCATCACTTGAACTGCACCCTACTCATCAGTACTCTGATAAGCACCATAAGCCATGCACATATAAGCTTTTTATGGTTTTGTTTTTCTTTCTTTATTTTCAGTTTAGTAAATTAGATGAATATTATCCACAAGAAAGACGTGAGTTGCAAATATCTACACAGTGAACATTAACTCTGTGACTACTTTTGGACATATCTAAAAGGTTGAATAACTGGAAAAAGCAAATCACGGGTCATGGTAGTTATATACGATAAAAGGATATATGGGATCAGATGATTAACCGGACAGCCAATTTCCTGCATATCCTCTTTCTTTTCTTAAAATAAAAAGAAATTGGTGTATGCATCACATTTTTTCTAAGATCTATGTTGATTGTTTGTGAGAAGAAAAATGCATATTTATTTAAGAAGCTGATCAAAATTTCAGAACTGAAGATTATAAAACTTAATACAATTAGTTACAAGTAAAAGCACACCGGTCACATATTATACATACACATACACACACATAAAATATATAGATTTCTCTATTAACAATATCACATCTCCCAGTAATTTACAGATCAAAGTTCTATATAGTATCAATCTCCTTGTTCACTTTATTTTATTTCATGTTTTGAGATCTATATATACCAACCAGAGAGTGCATAATTATACATATTTTTTTTTTTTGTACTTTTTTTCCTGTAATTGTTACCAACATAATTCTTTATATCATATATATTATGAATCAAGAGATCACTCAAGTAGTAGTAGAGTGAATTTCCACAATTGTCCTCATCACCTTTACCTGTGTGGTAAGGCACTTCATGTAATGAGCAGTCTCCTCCAACAAGCTCCAAGTATCCATGCCTTCACCGCCAGGTACGACCTTCCGCAGCTCATTTACCTTGTTCTGCTCAACTCTTTTCTTCATGGAGTAGTGAGAGCGACTGCCAATTGATCTCCTTACAACGCCACCGTTGCACGCTTGGTTTCGGATCTTCCAGAGCAGCGCCCTACTCCATGCTCTTCTTCTCCCTACAGCACAAGCCATGGATGCATAAGAAGCAGTCTTGATTTTATGATATCGCCGCCGGATCTCTCTCGGGGAAGACGATATTGATGATGATGCTGATCTGGGGTGGTTTTTGTTTATTCTGATTAGGGCTTTCACGAACCCTTTAGTGAACCTAGATTTCAATGAATTAGGGTTAGGAGAATTCATGGGTCTATATATGTTTGTGGAAAAAAAAAAAAGGGTTTGTTTAGACAGTTGAGTTGGGGGTACTTGAAAATAGAAAGAGGTGAATTTTTAGGAGGAAATAGAGACAAATGAACAAGATAACAGATTTTCTTCTGACAAAAAGGGTCCAGTTTGCTCACAAGCCACCAGGACAAAGAGGAGAGAATTTAAATGGTGTGCTCTGACAACACAGTCTCTCCTCCAAAACTATACCCCAAACAACAGCAGACCTAGAGAGAGATTATGTGAAAGGCAATTTAAGGAAGAGAGAAGATGAGAGGGAAAATGAGAATAGGAGAAAGAAAAAGAAATAAGATTGCGAAAGAGAATATTGAAAATGGGAGGTGTAAAGAAGAAGGAGACTTAGAGAATAAACCTTTAATATAATAATATAATATTATTATCGATTAAATATGGGCAAGTGATGAATTACCTTTGTGAGTAATGAATATGTATTTCTCTTAAATCTACTGCTTTTTTTTATATTTTTTATAATTTAGATGAATTTAATATAAATTATATTTCCTTTATGTGTGTAAAGATAACACTATGCAGCTGTATTCCGTATACAAATCAAAGTTGTTTATCTAGGAAAGCGAATGAAATTGAATAATAGGTTTGTAGCTTCTTTCGTTTTCAACATAGAGTTTTGGAGGTGAAAAGGGGGCTCCGTGGGGCTACAAAGGACCAACCAGCATATGAGCGCACATGGTTCCATTTACCCACTTGTATGGGGCCTTCAATTTTTCTCTTTTCATCTGGTTTTCTTATACATCTTTCTCCTTAATTTGATGTTTACAACCAACTCATGGTATTATATTCGAATTTGTCTCCTCTTGGCTCTATAAGCCAATGACATGATAGTCCATGGTGATGGTAGTTACTAACTAATTATTAGCTAGTGGTGGTTTCAGATGACAACGATGGCCGGCGGCCGACACCAAATGATGTCACGGTCACTTTAATCTATATTTAAGCCCGATTTATAGCTTCAGTAGTGGAGCATTTTAATTTACCCTACAGTATGTCACGGGCATTCTAATTAGAAGAAAATAAAAAAGTAGTGAACAGTTAGATGGATTCATATGGACCTTCTGCTCGTTTAAAAGTGGATTTGAACCATTTACACAAAGGATCGTTAGTCATTGCTCTAACCAATTTAGCTATCTGAACCACTATTATAGAATGACGAGAGTATTTACTTAAACTCATATTGTCGGTATGAGGTCGAGTGTTTTCCGTTGATCATGTGATGAAGTGATGAGATGTATCAGGGTCCATATGACCGTGATCATGCAGCTGCTACCCTAGAGATATCTAGTTAGCCTAATATTCGTGCGGTTGATTAAAATTTAAAACACGTAATGGTATTGGATGGAATTGATGAATCAAAATTTTTAGTGATGTGGGATGAAGTTCCTAATATACTCTCAAATTCAACAGAAAAATAGACGGCGTTAGTGAAAAGGATCACTGATAAACACATTGTTAAGTTTAAGGACTAAAAACTAATATGAGAGTTCATGAACTAAAACTAAACTAGGAGTAAAATTCATAATCATTGCTACAATTAAGCCAAATTTAAAACACGTACCTAATGATATTAGATGAAATTGATGAATCAAAATTTTAGCAACGAAAATTCCAAATATCAAATAATATGTCCAAAATTTCTCTTTTAGTGGGTTGTACAAATTACAAATCTTAAATTCGTGGATCAACCCCATCTCAACCGGACTAAGGCGCAACGGCTCCCCCGTGGTCATTGAGATTTTTTTTTTTTTTTTTAATTTTTTTTAATTTTTTATTTGTAGTTGAAGTTTTGTTGTCCAACTTCTAAGTAGTATTAAGTTGTAGAAGTTGAACATGAGTTTGTTGCACAATTTTACAATCTCCCACTGTGAGAGTTTGTAATTTGCAGTTTGCTTTCGGTTGATGGTATTTGTATTGTGTCGACTTGCTAGTTGATTCGGGGTTTTCTAATTGGTGTTTTGAGAATAATTCCCTTCATATCATTTTAGCATCACATTGGGATTCAACTGTATTTTTTTGAAGTAGAGCGATAATGTTAAGGGGTTACATAGTTAGTTGCTATGGAAAGAAAAATCAATAGAAATTGAACACGTATCAAATTGCATAAGCATTATTGCTTTATGCCATTACGATAAAGTGTTTAGATGCGGTAACTAGCACCAGATGGGGATTTGAATGTCTTTATTGGTCAAGATACGAAGCTAATATCCGGATTGATCACTAGAGAGAGTTTTTACTCGCATTGATTATTACCTTGCTACTGAAATTGGTCATCGGATTAAGTGGTTTAGTTTTCATATTTTGGTTTAAAGAATCCCCAAATATTATGAGTGAACATGATAAGGAATAAAAGCGTGATGTTCCTAACCACATGGAAAGATGCATTATACTAATCTCTGTTAGAAAGCAAGAAATTAAGACCGAAATTGGTGATGTATGAGAAATTTTTAGTTATGACGGGAACATAAGTGATACATTACTTGTTTTAATAGGAATGGTGGAAAATTTTATTTTTTAAGTTATTAACATTTTAGCACATATATCTCATAATTTATTTAATAACATATAATGTACTATTCCGTATACTGATTACACTGAAAAATCTCTCATGATGCTTGCTTTCTTCCCCTCTCAAGTCCTTTTTTGGGTCAACATCCCCTCTCCAGTCTCAACACGTTGAAAAGTTGTGTTTTGGCCTTTGGGTCTTCTGAAAATCCCATCAGCCAAAGACTATAGCAAATATTTAAGCAAGATAATAAATAACAATAACAATTTAGGTTTTATATGTTTAAATAAGGATAAATTATACATAGTATTTTTCATGTATATATTATATATGTTCTTCCTCCAAAGAGAATGTTTACAACTTGGGGTTAAAAAAAAATATTTCTTTAAAATGAAAGATAATTTATGGGTTATGGCATTTGAAATAAATAATTAATTAAATAGAGTGTGGTACCATCCACTTACCTCACTATAAGAGCAACTCCAGCGTTGGAGTTATCCCCCTAGGCTATTCACTATTTAATCCACCTTATGAACAATAACTGTTCTTAATGAACAGTAATAGCCCTGGCAGTAGCCTTTGCATCTCCACCGTTACACTTCAATAGCCCTGGCAATAGGCAATAAAATATTAGTATTTTTTTATTTATAAAATAATACAAAATAATTTTAATTGTAATTTCGAATAAGATTTTTAATCGTTCTCGTTGCGCCACGTGTCATTATCTGAAGTATTATTAAATAATACAAAATAATTTTATTTGTAATTTCGAATAAAATTTTTAATCGTTCTCATTACGCCACTTGTCATAAACCGAAAAGACAATTATTGGGGATGGATTTCCGATAAAATTTTTAATCGTACTCGTTATGTCACGTGTCATTATCCGAAAATACAATTATTGGTGATGGATTTCTGATAAGATTATTAACCAATCACGTCGCGCCACGTGTCATAATCTGTTTACAATCTTTGAGGATATATTTCCATCAGATTTTTAACGAATGATGGCATGCCACATGGCATTATACAACCTAATCCTTCTGAATCCTCCATATAATCCACCATTCATCCTCACAAATCTCACACCAATTTTCTCAAGATCTCTATCATTATTCATAGTTTCTGCTTCCTTCTTCACAAAAATATGTATCATTATTCATAGTTTCTGCTTCTTTCTTACAATGTCTTCTTCTTCCTCAAGGATGATGTGGGAACTCGATCAGGAAGATTAACCAATCAGAAGGAATGTGCAATCACCAGGTGGCAAAAAATTTGTATCATTATTCATAGTTTCTGCTTTACGAATATATTGTTACCTAATCCGAGTAATTTTTCACACTTCGAATATTACTACTAGCTTGTGCCAAGGCATCTCTCCACGTACTAAACGATTGGCTAAGTAATTTCCAACGACTGGATATCAATTCTTTGGTTCTTTTCCCACCAATTTTCTCAAGATAATTGGTATGAATAAGACTCCACATTTCTGGCAACTGCATCTCATTATCCGTAAGCGAACTATGAGTAACTTCAACCCAGCTAGTACACAACGCAACATCTTCAAGAAGCGACAAATTCGTACTTGCATCAGTAGTCATTTTGTTGAAAAAAAAAAGGATTGAAACTTTGAGAGAAAGAAAGGAAATTGAAAGTAGTTGAGAAAATATGAAATTGTGGTGTAAGGTAGATGATAATGAGAAAGTATTTATAGAAAAGTTAAAAACAATTTTTTTTAAAAAAATTTCAGATTTTTTTTTGAATTCTTTTTAAATTTTTATTCAACTAATTAATCTCTGCCGTTGGATATAAAAAAATTTGAATTCCAACACTAAAAATTGTGCCACGTGTCACAACGGTAACTTTTCTTAATTTTAAAACTATTTTTTCTTTTATTTTTTTATTTATAAAGCATATTAATATCCACCGTTGATCTAAGATCGAACGGTGGATATTAAATAGGACTTTTTTTAATTTTTTTTGACCGTTGAGATCTAACGGTCTAAGTTAAAGATTCGTTGAGATTGAACGGGCCGTGGGAAGCCACATGGCTTCCCAACGGTAACTGAAAAGTCACTATTTTTTTTTTCTTTTCTGATTTTGTGTCGGTGACGCGCCCCCACACACGAGTGGGGTGCACGCGCTTGAAAGAAAAAAAATTTTAAATGGCCTGACGCCAGGCTGACGTCAGCGCAGGCGTCACATCCACTCGGGCTGGCAATTCTCCACGGGCCTGGAGCTCGGGCCTCCACCTCCACTCGGGCTCCCTCACGCTAGAGCCGGTCCACAGGGCCTCGGGTCCCTTATCTTTGGCCTGTCCCCGAGCACCCAGCAACGCTGGAGTTGCTCTAAAAAAAATGTCTTTTTGCGACAGATAACATGGTCGTCGTAAATAAAAGAAAATTTGAGCGCTAAATGTTAGCTCAAAAGTATTTTCGACTTTTGTATAAGTAACGTCGCAAATAATGTCGTAAATAATATTATAAGCGATGCTGATTAAAATTTGCGACACTCTAAATGACAAAATAAAATTTATAAGTGATGCTGATTAGAGTTTGCGACATCCCAAATGACAGATTAAAATTTAGCGCCTAAATTTTTAAAATTTTCAATTAGGCACTTTATTTTCAGATGAAAACAATCCAGCGCGCCTTCATTTTCATTCTCTAGAATCATCCTTCTCTCTCCTGCACCTTTTCCACTTTCCTATTCGACTGAAAAATAACAGGCCTAATCTATCCAATCAGAGATATTGGGGGAATCATCGGAGACTTTTTAGCAAAATTGGAGATCCCGGCAATCGGAGATTTTGTAAGACACTACAACCATATTCCCTCTTTTCTAATTCAGTAAGTTAAGTAATTTTTAGGGTTTTCTTTTTGAATTGATTTTTATGCTTGCTGAATCGGGCTGACGCTCAGCCATACGAGCCTGAGCGCCGTTGTTGGTGTGCAAGGCTTGGTGAGAGGCGCTGCAGCAGCTGAGGCAGTTGATGATGTACATGCGGTGGAGGAAGCGGTTCAATCACAGCCGCGGATGAGTCAAGTCCGAATACGAACAAGGCGTTCGACGCGTTTCTGAGGGGTGCGGCTTCTAGGTGACACCAAGCTCATATACTGGGGAGGGGTTTCAAGGAGAAGGTCATCGCTTTGTATCAGAAAGCTGTGAAATTGGGAGATCATGTTGGGCAGTGGAATTTGAGAATTTTCTATTTGCAAGGTATTGATTTTACCAATTATCTTCTATTTTAGTATTTAAATTATGAAAATATGTGATAGAATTTGATTATTATGGAACTGAAATTTGCTAGTATAAATCTGTTTGCGATTGTACTTCTTTCAATCAGTGCATTAGTTTGATTATACTGAGAAAACTAGTTGTCCTTAATTGGGTAGAACGGCAAAATAGGGTGAATGTTAGTGTACTGTTGTTTGGGATTAGCAAAATTGATTTTGAACTGTTAGAACATTTGGACCAGAAAGAAGTTTGGGGGAAATTGAATTCATTTAATTAGTGCTTGGGTAGAATGCTCTTTTCTTCATTGTGAAAATATGATCAATTTTTGGTCAGAGTTAGATGAAATGTGTAATTTCAACTAGGTTTCCAATTCATTCAGGGTATGGTGGAGAGTTTGGTTAATCACTCTGCTTTGAGGATGTCTCTGTGAAGGTAAACACTATTATTTGTGAGCATGGCTATGTATAGTACTATCCAAGGTACCAAAGATAAATTATATTCAAAACATATGAATATTCTTATATTTGGATATGCTTTTTTTCTTGTGTTGTGGTGATGGTATTGAAAGTTGAGCTCTCATATCATTACCTTCGAGCATGAGGGAAACTGGAGTAAGGCCCTTGAGTATTGTGGATTTTGGTTCCAGAAGTTGTTCAGTGGAAGGGACTCAATCAACATATCGTTTATCCACACCCACATTGGAAAATGCAATGAGGCAGAGGAAGCCATATAAAGGTTTGATTGGGTCATTGCAACAAACTCGTTGTATGCATGTTCTAGATTTGTATTGCCAAGGATTTGTATGCAATGGACATGTTTGACATTCTGGTTAGCCATTTTTCTTGCTTGTTTAATTCTACAAGTACCAGTTTTCCTGATATATTTGATATACTATTTGCAATAGGAATGTCCCGTATAAGTGAAGAAATCGTGGTATATGTTAGTGTTTAAGTACCTTAGAAAATGTTGTGTTTCCTCTTGTAAAAATTCAGTTGTTTGAGGGCACTTAAAGAGGGAGATTACAATGAATTCCATGGAAAGCTGAAATATTCAAAGCAGGTGATATGAGTGTCAACTTTGTCTCCCCTACAAGTTGGTTATGTAATTTTACTTATGCTGTGTGTTCATATGTTTCAGGAGCTTCGTGATTTGTGTCAAGCGCTGTGTTCATATGTGTCAGGAGCTTCGCAATTTGTTTCTAGCGCTGTGTGTTCATGTGTCAGGAGCTTCGCAATCTATTTCTAGCGTTGTGTGATCGTATGTGTCGAGCTTTGCAATCTGTTTCAAAAATGTCACTTGTTGCAAGTTCTAGATAAAGATTACATGATGCCGTTGGTGTATAATACTATAATCGATACGACCATTCAACTAACTTTAAGTACAAGTGCAGTGTTGCTTTCATACTTTTGTTGGTACTTCTATATGATAATACATTGTATTATAATTTACCTAATTTATAGTTCATTATTAATAACAATTCGTATTTAGTTTATAGATATTTACATAATTTATTTTAGTTTGGAACTTGTAGTAATTTTCACATGAAATAATTTTAGTGAAGTTGTTAAAATAATGTCATTGTGGCATCCCATTTGACGCCCAATATTTTTTTTGTAAACCCGAGCCCACTTATTTGCAACACGTAGGTAGCCATCGCAAGCCTGTAGCAAATAGTACTTGCGACGTGCTTAAAGTGTTGCATATAATCGACCAAACATTTATGATACCATTTTGTTGTGACGTGTTATTGGCCATCGCAAGCCCCGTTGTAAAAGGGGATATTGCGACGTTTTTTGATGCTTTTGTGATGCGTTTTGACTGTCCCAAAAGGCTCATTTTTTTGTAGTGTCTTTTTATCTTTTTTACATTCTTTTCATTTTCGGCCGTTGAATTGAATGAATTAAAGAATATCAAATAACAAAAATTAAAGGGGGTGTGAGAGATAAAAAGGGGTGTATGGATAACACCACTATAAATAGTAATCCCCTTCAACAAAAAAGAAAAAAGTAAATTAGAAACCCTAGCTGGAAAATAAAATCAAGTGAGTGAGTGAGTGACAGAAAGGCAAAACAAAACGCAGTAGAGTAAAGCTTGGAGTTGGCGTTGTGGCCTTATAGTAAAGGCTAGAGGAGGGGAGGGGGTGTGGGTGCTGTTGTGGCCCTAGCTTGCCTACAAATGCCCACACAGGCACCAAAGCTTTGTATTACACTTCAACAAACTCATAATTAGGTTTTGTGTATTGATAATTCGAGATAAGAAAATCGGCATGAGCTTGTTAATTTATGCACATCTTCAATTTTCTATTAGCCCATGCCACGCCAGGACCACCAAATTCACATGTGAGTCGCTTACAGATGTCATTTTTATTCTATATGTAGGTCAATGAATCTTTTTTACGTTTGTCTATTTAACTGTTGATAAAAGCGAATTCTATAAGCCATCAACGATTGACAACCACTCAAATGTGCCTAGCACGTCTCCATTTCGCATTCCTCATCAGATTAATATTCTTAACATTATATGAAAAGGTGCACTTGACTAAAAGCATGAAATAACAAACTCATAGAAAATTTTAGAAATATCACATTGTGTTAAATCATGACCCATCTGATTTTCTCCACAATCATGGACTATGAAAGCTGACCAAACCAAATAGAATCAAGCGCATGGACCTTCTTTGTGAGAAACTTTTCGGTTTGACTGACACATCTTCACATGAGTTTTTTCATGATGGATGAAAAATTGATATGCCAGAAATTTATAATATAATATATTAGTAAATACGTAGTTTTTATTGGTGTTTTTCTTTTCGTCAACAAATAAATTGATAACACCACATGTTATCTATGACGATTGCACCAAAAATAATGCGAGTTCTAAAGCAAAGGGAACCCACTATAAGACTAAGACATATGAATAAGACATAAGAAGTGACATTAACTTGACCACCACCAAAGGTCTTTTGTACAACAAGATTTTCCACCTTAGTAACCATCATTGGCCAAAGAAAATTTGATAATTACTCAAATTGGTTGATAATATTAATTGCATGTTGGGCTTGTTTGATGCACAAAATTAGATTAGATAACTCATAAAATTAAGATATGTGTGAAGGCAGAGACGGTTCTTTAATTTTAATTGAGGGGAATTAAATGAGATATATATTTTTTTTCAAGAATATGATGAGTTATTGAATCCAATCCAATCATAAACCAAGCGAGACTTTGAACAAACAGTACTGAACAAAAAATGCTACAATGACAGAGGAGCATAATCAAGATGATATTTAAATGGTACAAATTGGTATCAAGAGATTTTTTTTTTTTTGGGGGGGGGGGGGGGGGGGGGGGGGGGGGGGAAGAAGTAGGCTATTCACATATGCTGCCTCAACAAAATTTGGTCTGAATAAAACTTCAATTCCTACTATTACATATACTGACTATTGCAATCATTTTTGCAATCAATTTTAACAAAAATAAAAGGGGAGAAAAATAAAATCTTATGGGCATGAAATAGGAACTTTGGTAAAAGTTTCCGAATAACATGTTTATATATTTCCATTCTCCTCCATTGATGACTCCGAAGCGGAGTCATCAGTAGTGGAATTGGAGACAATGCTTGAACCCTCACTATCGGAAATCACAGACCGTCGATCTACGACAGGCTGTTTCAAAAACCAGTACATAATGCTTGCAGTCAAAGTAAGAATCATCTTTTGATTCACCTGATGAAATGTGTCAACATAAACTAGTTTAGGTGCATTGGTTGACAAAAGAAAATGAACAAAAATAACGAACATTGAACATCCCAAAAGTACCTCAGTTATGTCTTCAGGAAGCAAAAATATCGAACATCCGAGCTTTCTTGCAATACTGATAATGTAAGTGGCATTCATCTTCTTCTCCTCATCTATATTTTTCAAAGATTCAGAAGAAAAATTATGAATATGGTTTTCAAACATATCGATATTTGATAATAAGTTTCCCTAAAAAATTCAACCATGCCTCGGAAAAATAGGAGAAAACATACCCGTTACTCCTTTTGTTACGAGACTCCAGTTCACCACTCTAGGCTGCACACAGCTTAGCAACTCAAGGAAGAAAATTCCAGCTGACAAACTCTTATCCTGTAAGATCGATGTAGAAACATATGATCAGGGATGACACTAAGCACAGATTGATGCACAGTCAAAAAGATGTTCTTGCTAATGTTTCGAAATTTCAGGCATGAGATTCATGCATGGATGTCACAGCCTATTTGGAAACTTCAATCGTTCACCTAATTCACGAAACATCTAAGCAAATAACACGACAGATTATGGACCTATGGCTAGAGTGTCCATCTGCAATTCGAAGGAATGATTGCATAGCTTCTGTCAGGACTACAAAATCTTTGCATTACTCTTTTTTTCACTATCAGGTATAAAATTACTACACCAAACACATAGTGCCATGGGAATGACGTTTGAAAAGCACCACTGCTATCTTTATAAACTACAGAAATGGTACCTTAAAACTTTTCATGCAGCTCTGGCTTCCCGTGCTGCTGACTTTAGTGTTGGCCCATTCTAGAATATCAGCATCAGCAATTTCCTTCCCATGGGAATGAAATCTCAAGTTCTTTAGTAGTTGGAGGATGTTGTACCGCATCAATTGCCACAAATAAGCTGAAGACAAAACCGACGCTCTTTGGTTCAGACAGTTTCCATGAATGATTATATAAGCATATAGTTATACCAACAGTCTGATGTATTTGGAAGAATCCTGTAAGATACAGAATTAACATAAATGTACCAGTGAACGTACCAAGTATTAACTTTTTATTCCCCTGAACGATGTCATTTCCAGCAATATTCACCAAAGAAAACTTCAGTTGCTTTCCAATTTTTACAACTTGGTTGCAGTTTTCTACTTTCTTGAATGGCATTTTAATTGGAGGCTTGTTTGCAATCTTCCAATTTACAATGCCAGGTGAAATCTTGTCCAGTGACTCCAGAAGCGCCCACCTGCAGGGGATTAATATCACTTCAGCTCCAGATGAAACAAAAGATCAAGCAGTTTGAATAGTTAGCATAGTCTAACTCTGGAAGTACTTGAATTTAGTTCATTATGATCTCTACTACAAAAATTAAGAAAATTCTACCTTTAAGACAATCTTTTCGGTATTTTTTTTTTATTTTGAAATTTAGAAGTTTGGTTTTATTTGAATCATGAACCTGATGCGAACTTAGTATGCCACCAGATGCAACACTATAATAAGTTGATGAGAACATAAATAATTTATGTTCAGGAGGATAGACACACACACTATAATATTAGATCATCATAAGAGTTCAAAATCAAATTTTACCCGTTTCTGAGGTCTTCAAAGACATTATTGATATATGATGAATTCCCGAGACTATTCATCCAAAAGCGAAATGCTCTCTCTTCTCTAGAGATTTGGGTGTCATCTTCCAAATTGTCAAGGAATGATATCTGCTTTGTTTGTGTTGAGAGTCCATTTCTACAGGTGAAATGAGTAGTTTAGACATTATTGATGTATGATGAATTTCCAAGACTATTCTAAAAGGAATGCATTGCTCAAGTAGATATAGGTCTCACCTATGCTGGAAAATATGTGCAACAAAGGCAAGGTTAAGATTCGGGGATCCTTCAAAAATATCTTTTGCTGTCAAATATCTCTTGCAGCCCATCCTATCTGCATGTTCAAGAACTAACTTTGCTCTTTCCATAGGATTCTTTGCATCCAATGCAGATGGTTTACTGTGCTCCGGTGCTAGAACATTTAGGAGGTGAGCATAAGCCTCTGCATCCTGCAAGACAAACATCTCATGCCCTCAAACACTATCAATATCCTTGTAATGTATGTTGAATCTATTTATCAGTTATTGCTGTTGCAACCCATTGAATAGAATCACTGGCTAAACCTTTCCTATTTGATTCTAAACAACAGGAGGGCATGACATATCCCAAACCTCGACAAGTTATTAACTTATTTTCATACCTTCACATCAGAGGAGAAGTTTGTGACTATCTTCTGATATCCAGCTTTCTTCAATTGGAAATTCATCCATCTCAGTAATATCTTTTCTGGTGGTAGACTCATCAACTCTTCCACATCCTGTAGGTTTAGGACATTAAATTTAGACCACATTAGAATAACTGTTGGTTGATATCGTCACCACAAAACATCGTAAGAATCAAAATTTTATGAATTAGGACATTCTTACCTTGCTATCGTCAACCAACTCCACCAATTGAGGTGTTTTCTTCAAGTTGAGGTCTGCCAAGAGTTGTATCTATATAGCATAAAAAGTAGTATAAAACTCTTAGAAAGATAAATTTGCAGCTTGCATTGCATTTCATATCAACTTTATATGCATATATCTACAAGGATATAAGAAGCCTATAATTTGGATATGGTCCATCACATATTACAAAATTAAACTTCATGCTTTTGAAGTTATACAACTCCGAAAATCTTACCTTGATTA